GGATACAAAGAGTAGAAGTGATTTAGTGAAATAAATGGTTAAGTTTTATGAATTGAATTTACTGTTTTAAGTTCATTATATTTTTTTTTCTTTCACCTTGAATTTAAAAAATATNAAGTTTCAAAGCCTTTTTTACCCCCAGGGTACCCTTGGGCTCCGTCAAATTATTTGAGCCCATTTATTTGGTCCACCCTTTTGGCTAGCTGTAACTATACATAATATAATGACACAAGAAGAATTATAATAGAGTATTTTTGTACGATCCGTACCCAATATTTTAAAAATTCATAATTATTGTTAAAATTAAAGTTCAAAAAATAAATAGACATGTTAAAATTATTACTTAAATATACATACAATATTTATGTAAGTGCAAAGAGCTTTATTATAACATCGAATTATCACTTTATTGAGAATTTGTATTTTCTGACTTTTTATTTGACTGTGAATGATTTTCTATAAATTGGCATAGTGCAATAATTTAGTTTTAATGCCATCTTATTAAAACATCAGCAAATATTAAAAAGTGGTTTGCATTTAATACACGATGAACATGATGAACCATTCATAATTTATCTAAATAGTAATGCGTTGTAAAAGGAAGTTGGTTTCTTTTTTTCTGAAAAAAAACAAAACAATTTTGAATTAAAGATTCTTATCTAAGTGCTTTAAAATTTCAAAAGGTACATGTTTGGGGCTTTAAAAAAGTAGAAGTTAGTTAGTGATATAAATGGTTAAGTTTTATGAATTGAATTGTTTAATTTACTGTTTTAAGTTCATTATACTTTTTCTTTCACTTTGAATTTAAAAAATATTAAAACTTAAAATTCCGCGAAATTCCAATGCTGTAAACCGGGAACCCAAAGCCAACTTGTACAGAACTGCATAGTTCTAATTCTTAACAAAAGATGTCGATAGTGAGCTCTACTTTATATAATAATAATTCTGCTTATAAAATAAATTCCATTCTGAACTAAAGGAATTAGAGTTTAAATGCGTACAGGATACATTTCCTAGGTTTTAAATCTCAATAAAATATGTTCTTATTTTTTAACAATTGTTTTATAAACTCCGTGATAAATACTTTTTTTCCTGTCATCATAAATGGCACTTCATGCATTTAATTATATTTGTTCCTCGGCCTAAAAAGTTATTTGTAAGGCTATACTATAGCCAATAAACATTGTATGCAAAATCAACGTTTTAGCTTTATGTTCAAAAAATAAATACATGTTAAAATTATACATGTTAAATAAAAATACAATATTTATGTAAGTGCAAGAGCTTTATTATAACATTGATATATCACTTTATTGAGAATTTGTATTTTCTGACTTGTACATTATTTTGACTGTGAATGATTTTCTATAAATTGGCATTGTGCAATTATTAAGTTTTAATGCCATCTTAATAAAACATCAGATAATATTAAAGAGTGGTTTGCATTTAATACACGATGAGCCATTCATAACTTATCTAAATAGTATTGCGTTGTAATAGAAAGTTGGTTTTTTTTTTCTGAAACAAAATTAAGAGCGATTTTGACTTAAAGATTCTATTTATACACAGTTATCCAAGTGCTTTATAATTTCAAAATATACATGTCTAGGAAAACAAAAAATAGAAGTGATTTAGTTAAATAAATGGTTAGGTTTTATGAATTGAATTATTTTATTTAATGTTTTAAGTTCATTATACTTTTTCTTTCACCTTGAATTTAAAAATATTAAAACTTGAAAATCCGCGAAATTCCAATGCTGTAAACCGGGAACTTAAATCCAACTTGTACAGAACTGCATAGTTTTAATTCTTAACAAAAGATGTCGATAGTGAGCTCTACATTATTTAATAATAATTCTGCTTATAAAATAAATTCCATTCTGAACTAAAGGAATTACAGTTTAGATGAGTACAGGATAAATTTCCTAGGTTTTAAATCTCAATAAAATATGTTCTTATTTTTTATCAATTGTTTTATAAACTCCGTGATAAATACTTGTTTTCCTGTCATCATAAATGGCAAGTATTTTTTCATTAACTGTAGTATTTTTAACTGTAACTGAAAATGTTTTATTTGTAAGGCGATACATTGCCAATAAATATAATGAACTGCCTGCATAGGATGAGAATTCATACTCGGTTTAAATTCAGCGCCGGCTTAAATCTTCAAACATTTGATACAATTTTAAGTGGAACCAACCATATTTAAACCGCGGCATAAATTTAAACCGACGTTTAAATTCTTTAAATTCGGCCACCGGTCTATCAAGTATTAAATGCAAACCACTCTATAAAAGAAATTTCAAAAATGGGAAATCCACGAAATAAATTTGCAAAAATCCGGGAACCAAAATCCGACCATTTTAGAACTGCATAGTTCTAATTCTTATCAAATATGTTGAAAGTGTGCAGTGTGCACAGAGGGATTAGATAGCTAAAGAATACTTTTAGTGGGGTAAACATCCTAATTACCCCCTGACTCAAATAACTTCGACCTCCTTATTTAATACTTTCCCCGCTGAATCTGTATTAATGATATATACATCAACAATATTAACAACAAAATTTACTTTTTAAACTTAATGCACAGCAGAGTCAATCTTATGATCATGCGGAAACCTAAATAAAGAACAAAAATTGGAAATTTCTGCTGAAAACATTCAGAAGATTTTTTCATTGTTACTTTATTTGGTGCTATGAATGGCACATTCTTTATTTCTTTAAATACAATTAGATTATTAACTACCATTATTGTTCTGAATTTTTCTAAATGAATTCTCATAACCTGTGATTATGCATATGTTTGCAATTGTCAGGATCAATTATCGTAATCAACCCGACTTGGCAGATTGACAGTCTGACCGCAGTGGTGTTTAGAGCGTGAAATTAGCGCGGCAAAATGCAGCACGTGTGCGCACACTTCAGTCGTCGTCCACACATGTGATAAATAAGACCTAGTTTACTCTAATATAAGTTAATTTTTCCCACATTCCCCCCCCTTATTTAAAGTTGTTGAGCCTATGCTGCTCACTACAGGGTTACCCACAAGGAATAATAAAGACAACCTGAAATTCATTTTGACGATCCCATGGAAAAATTAAGCCTTTAACCTCATATTAAGCCTTTAAATGGCTTATTAAATAATTTGGCAAATAATTACGGTTGCAGAGACTGGTGAATATAAAGAATCAGCCTGATTGTAATATGTCAGTACGGTCGTATCTGAAGTCCAATAATATCCCTGTATATTAAGTATACTTTAACTTTAAAGAATTGAAATGAGTTTCTCAGATGATTATAGCTTCTTCTGTTAAAATTACACAATTCGAAATATATTTGTTAAAATGCTTCATTTCTTTGTCATCCTATAGAACCATTAATAACATTGTATTATAGTTCTTTAAGAGACCAGAGGGTGAGAGTAAAACTTGATAAATGAAATATGAATGAAAAATTAAACATACCCTGTGTATTCTTTATAGATTTGAATTGAACATATCAGAGCTTAAAAGGGACTGTAAGCGTAATTTCTATTGGCCTTCCATGCAGGGGCGACTTATAATATTTTCCAGGGGGCCGGGCGCCACATCAAAATATTTTTTTATAATCTATTATTAAAATTTAAATTAAAGGACTATAGAAGGTCGTTCTCTCTTCTTTCGCCCAGTTAGTTTTCATGCGAGGGGGACGTCCGGCGTAACCCAATTTTCTTTTCCAGGTGGGGAACGTCCCCCCTTTCCCCCCATAAGCCGCCTATGCTTCCCTGCAAAGATGGTAATATCCTATTCACTAAGGTACCCTTGAAACCTTAGTTTTCAAAATTATTAAAATTGCATTGAATGTAGGGATGGGTTGTTTGAAATTGCGCTGATGGTCTTTTGAATCGCTACTAACTATGTCAGTTTGAATCTACTTGACACATTAAAACATTGACAGTGACACATGATAAATTGACAAATGTACTTTTTATTGTTATTATAATAACAGAATAACAATATTTCAGATAGAACATGAACAGATAATGAGTTTGACAATAGATATTTAAAAAGTGAAAGATAATCTAGTGAAAAGTGATAATGAAGGGACTAGCAGTGATTTTTCTTGTAATATCACTCAAACATGGATCAACTCAGTTCTTCAACAAAGATGAACTATCAGTTCAAAATTTAAATCAAGGAATAAATTAAACTGAAACTTTTTTTTTGCTTCAAAGTGTAGGACTTTCAAGCACGTTGAAGTAAATAGTAAAAATAATCTACAGACTTAAAGACTGTGGAATAGAAATACGACTTTTAAACGCGAGTTATGATTTTAAACAGTCCAATTACATGAACTAAAGCAATTGTGCAGTGTAAACTGACCCATTTCAAGCAACTATTAAAACTATAATTTGCTTTATAACAACACAAAATATATATATGGGTTTTGTAGTTTTTCTTTTGCATTTTTTTGTCCTTCTAGTTGCAGTTTTAAAGGTCGAGTACCTCGTTAGAAATGATATTGACATTCATTTTAAATGTAAATTTTAAAAGTTTAATTTAAATTGTCAGATGTAGAACAGTTTAATGCTCTAGAAGACGACCTTGATGCAGCTGAATCAGAATTGAGTGAGCAACAAGTTAAGATCAGGGATTTTTACAGGTAACCTAGAAATCCGCAATTATAGTGGAAAAATCCTCCAGAGGTCAGCACTTTCGTGTAGAGTATCATTAATCTTAAACGCTTGATATTGATAGCCAATGTGAGCACTTTTAAATGCTCCATCCATCAATTTAAGTTATCCCTATACAGGGAATGGTCACCATAGGATATCGGAAAGGAAATAAATTAATTCTTAGGTCTGCATACGATTAAGATCAATGCTAGATCCCAATATTCATTACTCAAAAGTTCTGACTAAAAAACTTTTGATTTTGTAAAAAATAGCATTTGGTTATTCCTTGATATACAGTTTAAATATACAAAGAACATTAACAGAAAATTCATAATAATTCATATCTATGCCTGGCTCTGGGTCTAGACCTGGGTCTGGATCTATGCTGACCGACAGGTCAAACCTCACCACATTCCGTGGATCAGCTTATCCAATTAGCTCTTCTTCTGTCTCAGCTGTCTCGTTCTTGGGTTTATAACTTATCTCTATGTTGACATCAGATAAACAGCTAAGGAGGAGGAGGGGTTTTAAATCCTTTTTTACAACTTTATTTTTCATTTATCAACTGTCGGATATCAAAGACAGTTTTAGGTCGTCTTTTTATTTCCATGTTTGTTCATTATTACAGAGAAGGAATTTATAGTATTAAAATAAATACAAATATATAAATATATTTATGTTATCATTTTAGTGAGAGTGTTTCTCCCATAATTAATAATCATGACAATATTTAAAAAATTGTAATGAAGGGGGCAGGGGTTGATTAAATCGTTTATGTGATGAATTTTCTGAGATTTCAATGTCGTTACATTCTTAGATTATTAATTACTATCTTTGATTAACTTAAGAATTAATTTTTATTTCTTTTATATTACATCATTAGCTAAAGCATAGTATCTACATGAACATCTTTTTTTTCATATTTTTGTTGCAAATATTTATTTTCTCAAACCAAATGATTTTTTATTCAATGGCCAATAAGGACAAAATTATAAATTATTAAAGGTCACTTTAAAATTGCGTGAATATTTCCCTTATTTTTGACACTTTTTTACAGTATTTGTCATCCGTGTTAATTGATATTTTTCTCTCATGATTACATGGAGTTAATAATTACCATAATCATCACGTGATTAAGAAAATTTAGAAACAAAGGAAGTACACACATGCCTCAGACTACTATCTATTAATAGCAACCTGATGTTGTAAACCTTTGAGATTTCAAACTGTGAATTTAAAATCGTGGTTCAAAGCATCTGGTTGCAAAGATATTAGAGTTTTAGGCAAGTGCTCATCAGTTCCTCTTAATCACAGTGGTTGTAACGGGGGGGGGGGGAATCCGTGGTTTACATCTTACAAATATAGCTTGCACCAGTAACCATAAAGAAAACCATCAGCTATAATTATCCGTATAAGAAATCTTTTTAACTGGTCAAACTTTTATTTCATTGTTAAAAAAATGTAAATTGTATTGACCAATTATAAAACACTTTGAGTGGTGATATAACATCTGGGGGTTGTTAAACGTTTTTCTTTTCATTAATATGTAATTATAGAGGAACAGAGTTTAAAAAGACAATCAGTTTATTAGTTTATACATGTAAAAATTTATTTTCATTAAACAAAACAATAATCTTCTTGATAAACGATGATGCAGATTTAACATGACGAAAACTTGTAAACTGGAAACCAGAGCAGCGAAACAGTTTTTTACAGATAGGGATGGTGGAAATAGCAAGATTCGTTTTACGGAAACTTTTAATGTTTCTAAACGTTTAAAAGGTTTTACGACAATATGAGAAGGTTCCAACATTTTAAAACTTTATTCTATAGAAGTTTGCTTTTATTAAACATGCAAATATTTTACCCTTGAGAAAATATAAGACAAAAAATATCGTTTTCAAACTATAGTTTTTTGGGGATATAAAACGATCGTTTTTGGTTCGTTTTCTCCTTTAATTTTCACCTAGGAGAAAAAATTTACATAATTAAATAATAAAAACTTCTATTGAATACAATTTCAAATCGTTGGAACCTTCTTGGATTGTCGTAAAACCTTTTAAAAACCTAAAAATATTAAAAGTTTCTGTAAAACGAATCTAGCAAATGCCCATTGCTGAATACACCACGCATAAGTCAACAAAGAAACTTAATTTTTGCCACACACCCAAATTTTATAATAACTACATCTTTGCAACCTGATGGTGTAAACCTTTAATGTTTTAAATTTAGATTATTTCATTATTATTAATTCATAGTTTAAAATATCTAAGGTCTACGACATTATGTTGCAAGGATGAAAGGTTTAGAAAAATTGAATTTGTGGCAAAAAGTCAGTTCCATTCCTTGATTGTTTAGAACATTTTTATCCAAATTGCCGGAAGGGACAGTCAATCTGTATGACCTGTACCCCCAATAATTAAAAAAATTAAATTTAAAAAGAAAGAAATGTTTTTGACAAAATTATTATTTAGAGCTCGACGCCCCGGACTGGTTGGTGGAGATACCAACGCCATTTCCCGGATAATGAAACAAATAAAAGAATCAAAAACTAACACAGAGAAAGAAAAAGAGCCGGTCGTACAGAAGACGGACGCAGAGCGAAGACGGTCGCTACTCAAGTCAAGAGGAAGTCGGCCGTTACCGTCGGTGGTTGCTCCGTCGGCCGATTTTAAACTTCAAATACTGGAGAAAGGAAGCGTTGTAAACAAGGAAAATTCAATAAAAAATTTCCTTTTTTTACTTTTTGCGTCAGTAATAAATCATTTTTGCTACAAAGTTCCCACGCTAAGATTTATTTCCTAAATACTATTACCACAAACTATTTTTCAAAACTAAATTTTTTGCCCCCAAAATATATTCGATTTTTAAATCCTTTATCTTCAGGTCTTGCAGAGGTTATAGAAATCTTCAATTTTTTGCAAGTTTTTTTTCAGTGTTTTTGGGAAGGACGTTATCAACCCTTAGGACAATTATTGTAAAACTGTTTTTTATTTTCTCTTTTCGAGAAAAAGACGGTTTATATTTTACAATCTTATTCTATTTTATAAGACTTTTGATGAATCATTGTAATCAATTTTAATTTACTGGACAATGGGATGGTAAAACCTTATTCATATATTTAAATTTATGACTATAATAAGTAAGGGAGAGAAATGAATAAAAAGGGGATTAAAGGAGGTTAAAGGGGGGGGGGGGTTATGATTTCATAACATTTTATAATTCGCCGTAAAATATTGTTAAGTTGGCTACTATAATCGTTAATTTCTATGCATGAGAGATTATAGACATGATTAGACTGGGCTTTAATTAGTTTTATATATATATATATATATTTATGTATTATATGGAATTATAATGAGTTATATCAAAATTTTGTTCTCCTACATATGTCATTTTTTCGGTAAAGTAATTAAAATTTACTGCATCATTAATATTCACGCATGTTTATTTTTCAAAAACCAGAATTCGAATAGATATGTGAAGCTTTATTAAGAATAATCTGATACACAGGGTTACCCACACAAGATGAGCTTTCAGATACGACTGTACGGAATTTTTACTGTCTGTTTTCTTATATTTATGATTCTTTGCAATTTTAAACTTATTTCGTTCTCATCCTAATCCTTGTGTTTCATGTCGTCTTTACAGCCTCATCCTTTGCGAATATTCCTCTATGTACTATGCTTACTGTAACTTCCAATGAATTTCAAATTCAAGATTGACATGCCATATCACATCTGTGGCCTTAACAGGATTTCTCTTTTTTCATTTTGCTTTCCTTCCGTTCTTTTTTGTATAGCATATATTTTGTTATAATAACAAAGGTACAAAGGTACAGAGTGTACCATTGTGAATTGGGAGTAAACTATAGTTCTTTAAATAGAGGTTCATTTGAAATACCGTTGGAAGATCATGTAGAAAAAAATGTTTATTTTTAAATTTAGTTTAAGAACTGCAACTGCAGGAAGCTTTCTTATGAATTATGAAATATTTATTGAATTTTGTAAAAGGTCAATTCGGAAGATAGTAAAGCTACAAGAAAGGTAAAATAATTTATATAATATTTTTATCATGCTTTGTGCATGAAATCTATATATTTTTTTTCTAATGCAAAAAATGAAATCTGCGCTGTTAATTTTCAAAAAATGTTCGATCCTTCCCTCTGAAATATTTTCATTAAAAATTAAGATTATATAATTTATTTGTTTTTTTTCCAGGATAATTTTGTTACGTCCAACTCTGTTACGACACAAAGCAACTTGAAAGGGCTAAGAAGGTTTAACTGGAACAGAAGGAAGAAGGAAAACATATTTAAACAGGTGAATACTGCTCTGAAGGATACCATTACTGTTTCTCCTGTGACGGTTGATGCTACTACTGATGCTGCTGGTATTGCACCTGAAACTGATATTGATACTTCTACCAAGAAACCTTCTGAAGAAGACAGTCTGGAAGAATTCGGCGAATCTATGAAAACTGCTAAAACAACCCACCATGTAAACCTTCATATTGAAGAGAAAAACGAGGAGCCGATTAAACCAAAGTTCAGATTTCCACCGAAGCGAAGAATAAATGACATCAAAAGAATGCGGGAAAAAGTGGTGGCCGACGAAAACAAAAAACTTGCTATTTTAAAAGAAAAACTTCAACAGTTAAAATATAGAAAACCAGAAGATATCAACCTGCACAGCATTGAAAACCCAGAGATTAAGAAGGTTGAACAAAATAAACTTGCAGACTTTGCCAATATTGAAACCAATACTGAAGATGGTACACTTCCAATTGAGAACATGTTCACAGCGCATTCTCAGGATAAACATAATGTTGATTTGATATCTAAAAAAGAGGAGGTATTTGTACCCCCTCATGAAAACATAGAATCAAAAATGGAAAATAACAGTGAAGAAAACGAAATCCCAAGTTCTATAGAAGAGCTTTATATTAACCCTTTATCTGATCCTAAGAAGACCAAAGTATATTCTACTGAAGAACATGTTGAGGCAAAATTTGAACCAAAAGAATCTGATGATGACACTCAATATGATTCTGCAGATTCTAATTCAGCTATAAAACAATCAATGGAAGATTACGAAAATACAGTTTATGAATCTGAATTGAAATCATTAGAAGAAGAAGAAGAAGGAAGAGAAGATGAAGATGTAGAAGAAAAAGAAGAAGCAGAAGAATTAGAAGAAGAAGAAGATGAATATGTAGAAGAAAAAGAAGATGCAGAAGAAGTAGAAGGAGAAGAAGAAGAAGAAGTAGAGGAAGAAAAAGAAGAAGTAGAAGAAGAAATGGAAAAAGAAGAAGAAGTAGAAGGAGAAGAAGTAGAAGTAGAAGGAGAAGAAATAGAAGAAGAAGGAGAAGAGGACATTATTGCAAAGGAGACGGAAGAAGTACAGAAAAGTTCTGCTATTGAAGCTGAAACTAAATCTATCGAACCTAACTTCTCTGATGAAACTGGAGAAGATAAGAAGAGCTCAGAATATGAATATGTTTATGAATATGAAGAAGAAGATACTCCTGAGAGTGTGCAAGATATAGTTACACCTCCTCCAATGGAGGTCACAACAAGTATTGATGTCACTACTGGAACACTTTCTACTGAACATTTAGGTAGGGTTTTATATCCGAAGTTTAGAGAATCCCTCATTTCAATTGAATGTTCATAATTCTGCAGAATTTAAAATAAAATTAAATACAATACATACCTGCTTGAATCTACTTAAATTCTTGTCTTTATCCAATCACAATAATAATTGTATTTTTTGTACGCTTCTTATTGAATTTTTTCTTAACCTCGAATACTTATGAAAAACAACAAAGAACAAAAGCTGTAAAAACAGAACACTGTAGCAGCTAAACAATACCAATGTCGAGTAAAGAGCTGGTTTTAACATGAACATGCATACAAGTTTTAAGATGAGTGAGGTTCAATGTTAATTGTTTTAAATAATTGTTTTGAGAATGAATTGAATTTCATGAAAATGTTCTTTATTTGCAATTATATACTTTAATAAGCATTTATTAAAAAGTACAATTTTCTAATGTAAATCAGGCATTGCAAATACAATAAGCCGTAGGTCATAAATTCAGACTAAAGCAATGAATCAAATTTTTAACATCTGTTCAGGCATTGTCTGGAATTGGCTTCAAACCTTGATTTGCGGTTTTATGAATTAAAGGCTTGAGAATTAGAATCACTTCTTTTGGAATAAGAAATTATTTTCAACTTGATAGTCACGAATTAAACCTACATAAATTACCACAGGGACAAAAATAACATTGTATTAAAAGGCAATTTTGTAATCCTCATATCTTTGCAACCCGATGATGTAAACCTGAGACTAGGACTATTTAAACCAGCAGAAAGGTATTTGACGTCTGGTTTAAAAGAATTTAAGAATTTTGAAAAAAGAGATTGAATCACATGAAAATAAAATTCCAAAAGAAAATCAATAGATTTATCTTTATATAAATTCAGCTTGTCTGTCTGTTTGTATCCAATAAACGTCAAAACGGCTGAACCATTCGGGCCAAAATTTTTTGTGGGACAGCACGTGACCACAGGGAAGGGTTATGAATGATAAAAATTAAAAAAAATGTGTTTTAAAGGTTTTAAATTTTGTAAAAAAAATTTAAATTCTTGAAAATCCGCAACATTTTTTTCTTCTTTGTTTTGAAATGTAAACAAAAAGAACATGTTCACAATGTAAATAGAAGATGGGCGCGAAGCGCCCTAAAAGCCTACAAAGAAGGGCGCGAAACGCCTTGAATTTCTAGTTTAATAAATTTTTCAAATTTTTGCTTTTGTTTAGACGATGTTTACAAGAATGAGATAGGACTGATGAAGTTGAAAGATACAACCAAGGTTGAAAGAGACTCAGAGATGATAAGTAATGATGAACTAGGAATGACGGATGAGTCACAAATGAAGAAAAACTCCGGATTTCAAATGAAGAATGACAAAAAATCAAGTTTTCTGAACAAAGACAAAATCCACGGTTTTTTTGAGAAAAATATTTCTCTGAAAGATAACAAATTTCCCAGTTCTACCCTTAACCTGGAACTATCCAATGCTTTCCCCCACCTGGAGCTAAAACCTATACCTGGAGATCAGATCTCTGTGCTACCTGAGAATCTTCTAAACAGTATCCTAGGAACACATAATAGGTACTGTCAGTAAATAGAGCCCGCGATTTATAAAACTCGGGAAAATACGGCTCGGGTCCAAGCTGTCGTTGGGCCTTATTTACGGCTTGAGCTTTCGGATTCAAGCTGCATCTTATTTTCTACAGAGTTAAAAAAAAACCTGTTTAATATTCTATTTGGCGGATTTTCATGGAGGGAATTGGCGCATTCGCATTTTATGAGAACAAGACTCAACATTGAGCCTTATTCTCTACTAGAACCAACCAAGGTCGGTTTTATTTTCATTGGGCTTAACTCCTTAAGTCGAGCCGAATATCTTGCAGTTGTCAATCACGTGACAAAAGCTCTCGTCAGAGTTGGGTCGAAGATTGGGTCTTAAAGTCAGGTTTATGGAATTACGACTTGAGTCGAAGTTTTTAAATCGCGGGCTCAGGGGACATTAAAGGGACTGACAATGTAATTTAAAGTGAACTTTATTTAAAGAGGTATATACCTGATTCACAAACGAACCCATTAAAAATGATGCAGATATTACAGTTTTTCTATCTAAACTTTTACATTTTTAATCACGGCTTCTCAATTGAAATGAATTATGGATTTCTTTAGCAGAATTAAGAAGGAGAAATTGACTGAACTCGCAATCTTTAAGATGAAAGAGTGAAAATCTTCTTCATCACTAATCAGATAAAAAGTGACCAGAATTTATTTATTCAGAATATATTTATACATTTCATTACCGATTTTTCAATCTGAAACGGATAAAGATATATATCAGCATTTTAATTTTTTTTTTCAAAATGGTCTCATACTTAACAATTCAGCTACGAAAAGAGCAAAACAATTTCACTGTTTTATGAAAAATATCAAATGAAAGTTTTTAAAGGTCCAGTTGTTAATCTTATGATTATGATTATGATTGAAAGTAAATCTCTTTTATTCAAAAGAATTGTTTTCAAGTGTTTAATATGATTTATTTATTTCAGTAAGTTTGATGTCAAAGGACAAATGTTGGATCGAAATATTGAATCTGCTTTAAATATAAGTATACCTGAACAGAATAAGCCTAGCTTCAACCAATCTCAGAGATATCAACGCCACTCCACTCATTCAAACAAGGTAAAATATTCAGTTGAGGGAGGTTGAAAGAAAGTGTTATCATCATAGAGAAATTTAATTAAAAAATTGTCAAATGTTTGCAGTCAAAAATCTCAGAAAAAAATCTAAAAATGATAAAATCCTCCCCCCCCCCCTAAAATACGAGCACTCTATATACAAGTGTACAGATTGTACGTACATATCGTAATGCACGTACAATCCTCCCCCCCATAGAAGAAGAAGGAGAAGAGGACATTATTGCAAANTTAGGAATGTTGACATCCTTTTTCAGACAGTTTAGGAATGTTGACATCCTTTTTCAGACAGTTTAGGAATGTTGACATCCTTTTTCAGACAGTTTAGGAATGTTGACATCCTTTTTCAGACAGTTTAGGAATGTTGACATCCTTTTTCAGACAGTTTAGGAATGTTGACATCCTTTTTCAGACAGTTTAGGAATGTTGACATCCTTTTTCAGACAGTTTAGGAATGTTGACATCCTTTTTCAGACAGTTTAGGAATGTTGACATCCTTTTTCAGACAGTTTAGGAATGTTGACATCCTTTTTCAGACAGTTTAGGAATGTTGACATCCTTTTTCAGACAGTTTAGGAATGTTGACATCCTTTTTCAGACAGTTTAGGAATGTTGACATCCTTTTTCAGACAGTTTAGGAATGTTGACATCCTTTTTCAGACAGTTTAGGAATGTTGACATCCTTTTTCAGACAGTTTAGGAATGTTGACATCCTTTTTCAGACAGTTTAGGAATGTTGACATCCTTTTTCAGACAGTTTAGGAATGTTGACATCCTTTTTCAGACAGTTTAGGAATGTTGACATCCTTTTTCAGACAGTTTAGGAATGTTGACATCCTTTTTCAGACAGTTTAGGAATGTTGACATCCTTTTTTCAGACAGACTTCACCAACATGGTGAATATTAGCAACTAATAGAATAACTAGGAAAAAAGCACAAAATAATTGAAAAGGAAGATTGATATTTTGCTAAACTCGTTCTTTAATTTTTTTATCATATCAAATATATAGCATTAAAGTGACAGTTTTTTTCTAGTTGTATCAAAGAGAGAAATTTCGAAGAAAGATGTTTTCATCCGTTTTTATCAAAAATATAGTCTGTGTATTAAATGACAAATTGGTTTAAGTTAATTTTAGTTTTAAACTTATAAAATTATCCTGAAAACAACGCCTGAAGTTATTTCAATGTTTATAAGTGGCTTTAATAAACAAATGCTTAGCTGAGCGCATTTGAATAATTAGAATGTTTAAAGCGAATTTTCGTAAATTTATCACACACTTTTGATGATTTCTAGTTTTTGAAGCTTTTATAATTATAAAAAATATGTTTTCTGTCACCTGAATTTTTTATTCAAAAATTCAACATCAGTACCGTGCTATAGTATTTAGTTGATCCATAACTTAATTCAGTATTTGCCTTAAACTTGGATTTTCTAACTAAGAATTCTGTCACATCAACTAATCTACAGGGTGTCCCAATAAACATGGGAATTCAGTGACGAATTCGATATCGTCTTGGTTTTGAATTGACATTGTAATACCTGATTTCAAAAGCCATAATATCATTTAAAATTCAGTGATGGTGATGGACCAAACCTCTGTAGAGTAAAAAAGTAGATGTTAGTTCCACATTTATTGAAAATATATTTCGGTCTGGGTTGACCCTCGTCAGTTCTTGAGATTGTTTCTTCACAAAGATTAAAAACAAACATATCATTATGTCTGCTACAGTTTATTATATTAAAACGGTAAATGGCTGTAAAGATGTGATTTTAATGTCTCCGCAAGATGAACAGTGAAGACGGACAAGTTTACTCTTTTTGTATACTGTAATTTTCTTGTTTTACTAAGTACAACCGTACGCAGTCAAAACATAAACAAACAAATTGTAAACATAGCAAACGAAACTTTTACAGATTGCAGCTTTCTCAGTAGGTATCACTTTACTAAATCAAAGAATTATTTAAACAAACGATATCGAATTTGTCATTGAAATCCCATGTTTATTGGGACACCCTTTAAGTTTGAAATTTAAAATGTTTACACCATCCGTTTGCAAAAATATGGGGATGAGACAATTTACGTTTGTGACAAAAACTTAAATCCTTTGATTACGTAAAGTCACATATATGCACCTTTATTAAAAGATGACCTCAAATAAAAATTTTATCATTATTGAATTGTTTTGTCAGTAACTCAGTTATAGTACACTAAGAATTTTACTTATATTTATTCTTAAAAGATACGTATCAGTATCCCCACAGTGGATACTGATACATAACTTTTGTATGGAGTATTGTTAATCTTAAACGCTTGATCTCGATATTTAATGTGGGAACTTTTCAAATTGAGGATCAAGGCTTGATCCTCAATTAAAGTTTATCTCTGTAGGGTTTGACCACCACCGTCATTAAAGAGGAATTAAATGAATCCGTTTGCATAACTTGGGTCAATGTGCTTAATCCCAGATTCAAAACACAAAAGCTCTGTCTTCTATTTGACGATTTTCTCTCTAACTTTTAGCTGGTCGGATACAAAGGTTGTTTTATGAGTCTGTCGAGAGATATCATCCTCATTGGAGTACTATTAGAGACTGTACCTTTTATTAGAGACTCCCATTTACATCTGATTGGAGATACCCACCCTGCATAGTTTCATTGGAGACACCCAGATTTTCATTTGAGACCCCAAATTTTCGTTATCTGGAGGTTATTCAACAAAAACCTTGGGTCTTCAATAAAAATATTGGGGTCTCTTACGAGAATTGGGGGTCTCCAACGAGAATTGGGGGTCTCCAACGAAACGTCTCTGGGGTCTCCAATGAAGGGAGTTTTCAAATACATAATCCAATGATGATGGTTTCCTCTCAGACTTGGTTTTTATTAATTTTGAAAGTGAAAATAAAAGTAAAAATTTAAATATTCGATCAATTTTCATGCAAGGGATAAATTCAGCCTAGAACATTTTCCTTGAAAGCAAGATATTATGTTATATTTCATGAATAGTGCAGCCTGCGGCATTGCGATTTAAAAATATTTAAAATTTGTGCAATACATGCGAGAGTAATTCGCAAATTGCAAACTACAATTCCACCGCAAATATTTATTAGAGTACAACATGTTAAATTCTAACTTTATTAAATGACGGGAATACACGCAATACTTATATCTATTGATTACAAACTAACAAACCAAATTAAAATATTTTTACTAAATGAATAAAATATTCAAATTAGGTCGAAATAAATATAAAATTTACACGTTCATTTGAATAAATGTCGGTAAAACATGAACAAGGGAAGCACAGGGAAGGGGAATGTTCCAGTTTGATGAATTTTTTTACACTTCCGTAAACATGAATATTTGCCAAATCAAGATTTACAAATATTATTATTTTTATCATATCGTATATTTCAGAATGATGAATCCTACTCCTTCAATTACGCGATACTTGATGAAAAAACTGGAATAATGCATTCAAGGAATCCTTCAATCAATTAATCAATTAATCAATCAGTCAAACCAAATAATTCAATTAATAAAACTGAAAAGCAATTGTTAAATGAAATTGAATACTTCATCAATCTTAATATCAGTTTGTCTTCTTGTTCTTGTTCTTGCTTTTTTTCTTCTTGATCTTCTTATTGTGCTTTTTTTTCTTTTTATTATTCTTGCTTTTGTTCTTTTTATTGTTCTTGCTTTTGTTCTTGTTCTTGTTCTTGTTCTTGTTCTTGTTCTAGATACAGATACAGATACAGATACAGATACAGATACAGATACAGATACAGATACAGATACAGATACAGATACAGATACAGATACAGATACAGAAAACAAGTAATTTAAGGATTGTTAAGAAGCTTGTAGTGTTATCAACTATTTTGTTCTCAATAGAATGTATTATATCACATCTTTTAATAATTTTTAATACTTCTTGAATTCCCCTTCAATATTTCTGTTAAAAAAATGAAATTGACAATACTGGAGAATGGGCAATAAAGTTGTTAAACAATAACATTAAATATTTTGTTTAACATTTCGTGTAAAACGAATATAATTTCTAAAAAACTAGATGTTTGCTTAAAGTGACTACTTTAACTTTAAATTCACTTTATGTAAAAACAAATTTTTTTTTTATTGTTTATGGATAATTTTCCTTTTTATATTTTAGTTTCCCTGATAAATACTTTTAAAAATAGTTGTTTTTATGATACACGCCCAATGATTATTTTCTGATATTAACACAAAAAAGATTCGATACAAATATTTTTTTTTACTCTAGATAATGTGTCTCATGCTTACAAAGCACCTTTTGCTGCAAACACATTAAAAAAACTTCCCGTTGAGAAGCATGAGAAAACAATCAATTATTTTATCCCAGAATTTATTGTGTAATTGAAGAAAATGAACGAAAAATAGAAACTGAAATTGTTTGATAAATTACGTAGAAAACATGACAAACTACTGATAGACAAACTTACATAAGACAAACTACTGACAGACAAGTTACATAAGACAAAATACTGACAAACAAACTTACATAAGACAAACTACTGATAGGCAAACTTACATAAGACAAACTACTGACAGACAAGTTACATAAGACAAAATACGGACAAACAAACTTACATAAGATAAACTACTGATAGACAAACTTAAACAAGACAAACTACTGATAGACAAGCTTAAACAAGACCAAATACTGATAGAAAAACTGCTGATAGACAAACTTACATAAGACAAACTACTGATAGACAACATTAAATAAGACAACTAAACTACTGATAGACAAACTTAAACAAGACAAACTACTGATAGACAAGCTTAAACAAGACCAAATACTGATAGAAAAACTGCTGATAGACAAACTTACATAAGACAAACTACTGATAGACAACATTAAATAAGACAACTTACTGATAGACAAACTTAAACAAGACAAACTACTGATAGACAATCTTAAACAAGACAAACTACTGATAGACAAATTTAAACAAGACAAACTACTGATAGACAAACTTAAACAAGACAAACTACTGATAGACAAAATTGAACAAGACAAACTACTGATAGACAAATTTAAACAAGACAAACTACTGACAGACAAACTTACATAAGACAAACTACTGATAGACAAACTTAAACAAGACAAACTACTGATAGACAAACTTTCTTAAGACAAATTAAGGATAGACAAACTTTAGTAAGACACATTTTAGAGTGACAATTGACAAAAGAGAAAAACTTTGGTTAAAATACTGTATTGGTCAATCTGTAAAATATCAAAGACCTCATTATCTAAGTAAAGATGCAATATGCTGCAATGTGATTTTAAAAATATTATATTCCGACAGAACGGATGTCAAATCCAACCCGTTGTATAGTTTTGAGTGCATTGATTAAAAATTATGATTAAATGATCCATATTTGAAACCTAGAAAAGGTTTAAATCTGTATTTATTATCGTCTAAAAACGTTTCCGTTTATTTAGTAATTAATTATAGTTTACATAATTTAAGTATATAAATACCCTTCCCCCCCTCCTCCCACCACCTTCTCTATTGGAGCCTGACTGCTTCCTTCTCATCAATTATCCATTTCCTGTATAAAATAAAAATCCCTTTAAAGGGACTGTAAGCGTAATTTAAAAATGATTTTCCATGCACACATGGTAATGCGGATTCACAACGATACCCTTAAAAGCTTTGTCAGATCAAGTATGAAGTTTGAAAGGAAAAATGTTTAAGATATTATAGCTTTTTTTTCTTCAAATTGATATTTCCCAATTCGTGGTTTTTCTGTAAATGTGACTCGAGGATTTATGCAAATAAGACAAAAAATGAAATTTACAGAATTCAAACCTTTTAAAGATAGAATTAAAAGAATTATAAGAATGCTCTATGAAATACTGTTTTTTATTAGTCGCCCTGTTTTAACGACTGACTTTTTTTTATGAATCCCTCTAATTAAATAAATAACATTTATATGAAATCAATTCAAATTTTTCGTCTAAACTTGAAAATTATAAAATAATCTACATCTTTGAAGGATAATAAATCACTAGTAAAACATATTGCGACCTCAAGTGCAATAAATTGCAATAAATCAGCATAATTCGCACATATTCAGTACCTTGTATACTTACTGGGGGGTTTATGTAACCACATAGTGCTTGTACTCCGGCNTAAAGGGGAAGAGTGGGGTACGTACATGGCTAAAATTTATTGAGGAAAAGGTGTAAGAACAGATATTTTAGGAAAGAAGGAAAAATAAACATGGAAAGAAGCCTCTAATTGTACTGTTACATTATAGCATTACATTGGTTGTAGTAATACAATACCTTTTTAATGATTTTTAAAATTTAATTTACAATTTTAAATTAATTCAATGCTTTCTTTAATGTCTAATTCTTGGGTGTTCCAATAAACATGAGAAATTGAGAGATGACTTGAATATCGTCTTTGATTTGGGATAATTCATAAATGGTATCAGGTGCAAAAAAAGAACTTGAATGTCTAATTACCTCTCCAAAAATTGACAGAGATATTAAATATTTGAACATTTTTTAATATACTGGAATCTGGACAAATTTCCTAGTTACTATTTTTTAAGGAAATAAATTCAACAAACTCGATCGTTCCTGTGTAAATTAAGAGAGTAATTAGTGTATCTTTCTTTATAACGACAACAACAAAACTTTTCCATAAATTTCAACGTACAGGGTGTCCCAAAAAACATGGGAATTCAGTGACGAATTCAATATCGTCTTTGTTATGAATTAGCATTGTAATACCTAATTTCAAAAGCCATATCAATACATTCCGTACAGATCTTCAGGGAGAACTCAGAAATACACAGGGGTGACAAGCAGACTTTATACACGCAGCATGGCTCGCGTAACACCTGTGTTCAGACATATTTAAAACTTATTTAAACTTAAACCGTCAATATTTAAATATATAATTAAGTGCTTTTTAAAGAGACTTAAAATGTAGAAATTCACGAAGGCTTTTTGTTTTGCACGCTTCATATACACTGTACATATTCTAGGTGTTGGATCCCGACTGTACAGTACGTAGACTTGAGTACAAGGCTGATGATGTCAATGGGTTTCAGGTAAACACAGATTGCAAACAAACATCAATATTCTGAACTGTAAACAAGAATAATTTAAAATATTTCCTGTCTTTTGACCGAATTCCTGGATTAAAGTTGAAGTTTTAAATCTATTTGAAATTAGAAAATGCCTTATCTGGTTCCTACAGTTGGATATCTAAACTTAATCTTAATTCACTCTATTTTATAAAATTAAACTTTTTCAACAAATTATTGCGTAAAACATCAATTAATGAACTATTTAAATTTTAGTATTTCCGCTTGTGTGTTTTCACAAGATTTTTTATATTTAATCAACCTTATCGTAGGAGAAAGCAAAATAGAATATTTATTAATTAATTGATTGATTGATTGCTTAATTGATTGATTAATTGATTAATTGTCCAGCTTGTTTCAGACTCAAGACAGGGTGAGAGACCTCCAAACTTCATTTTATACAGTGATGACATATGAACATAAGACACAAATATCTGTGACTGCTGATCTAGAAATTTCCAAAAAATATTTACCTTTTAAACCTTTCTTGAAGCACGATGGAAAAATCTTTTTTTATCTCCATAATTTTTTTTATTAAAGGGAGTGTTCGCGAAAAATGAAAGGGGGTATAGGCTTCATGCGATAAAAAAGCGCTTTTGATCGCTACTAATCTTACTTCTATATGTTGCGTCTATAAGGAGAAAATTGTTAAAAACGACTAATACCGAAGAACGTATAGTGTCCATACAAATTCAGAAAGATGCAACATTCAACTCGGATCGTAAACAAATCAATTTAATTCCAAACATATCATTCAGATATTACAAACAATAGTCACCGATTATTTTTCGACGCATTCGTAAATAGTTGATATTTCATAATATTTTGTATTTTTCATGATCTGAGAGTTACTTTTGAAAACATTTATTCCTGTTTCGAGGATTTTTGATAATGAAGACGACATTTTCATATTTTCCAGGCATGTTCGAAAATCCAGCGCCAGCGAAAATCATTTAAAAAAACAAAATCAAAAATAATATGAAATAATAATTATATACGAATGCGTCGAAAAATAATCGATGACTACGGTTTGTAATATCTGAATGATTTGTTTGGAATTAAATTGATTTGTTTAAGATCCGAGTTGAATGTTGCATCTTTCTGATTTTGTATGGACACTACGTTCTTCAGTATCAGTCGTTTTTAACAATTTTCTCCTTGGAATAATAATCTTGTTATTCAGTGCGTGCGTTTAATGAAACTATAGCATTTAGGTAATAATTTTTCATTTAATTGTACTCTTTTTTTCACCCCTTTACATGATGTTGTAATTTTTTTTAAAAATCCTTTACAGTTTCTTTTTTAACTGATTGAGGTATGTTTCAAGGGTTTATATAACTTTCTATTTTTATCTTACTCGATGACTTTTTTGTGTACTCTATTACTTTCTAATACTTCCTTTTCTTTTCGTATCAATCTTCCTTTCTTACTTTCCGTATCAATCTTCCTTTCTCCTTTCGGCACTTCTACAACTTTCATCATCTTTTTATATTTTTTTCTTACTTTTCTTTTTATTAATATTTCTGCGTATTCGTATATGTTTAAATATCTCCTAACACTAATATATCTTTCTACCTTTTAATTTATTATTTGTAGGAAGTAGCAACGGTTCGGTAAGTATTTAAATACAAGAAATAATTAATTTATAAAACTTTTCTCACATTTGTCATTTTTACATGTTTTCAACATAAAAAGAAAGCTTTTTTACGATAAAAAATGGTCAAAAAAATGGGCATAATGTGCAATTGAATTTTCTTTCTCAAAATATTCGATTAACATTTTTTAGAAATTAGCCTGAATCCACATTTACCGAAAAGGTCCTTATCTAAATTTTCTAAATATAAAAGCAAAGACGATATTCCAGTTCATTAGTTGTAATTATCAAAAACTAATTGTTTGCCTAAAGGTTCAGAATAAGATATGGATGGTTTATTTGGTAATAAATTAAATTAATTAAGCAACCAACCCTTATAATAATCTAGATACTACTGAAGACGGAGAGGTCCTGCAACGAAAGCAATTCTTCAAAACCAGATATTTTAGGTAAATCCATATTAATGAATTAAAGAAGAAATTAATTGAAGAATTAAAGATGAAATGTGTTAAAGAATAAAATAATGAAATAATCGATTCAATTAATGAACTAATTCGTAAATAATTCAGTTATTGAATTAAAGAATGAATAAATTAAGGAATTAATGAATTAATGAATTTATGAATGAAAACTTGTCAATTAATGAATTAAAGAATTTATAAATACATTGCATTACACAGAAATAATAAGTGTCCCGAATGTAATTACTATAGGGGGGAGGCGGGAGCCGGGAGCCCCCTCCCCCCTTAAACTGACCCCGAAATCTCAGTTATTTACAATTCTAATGATGTATGGAGTATTTACATTCTCACGCAAATTACGCTGATATCAGAAAATAATTGTCATACATGCGTATATATATTATATATGCTAAAATTTACGACATGGGCCGTATCTATATATGATAATATATATAAATAAATAAATACGATGTAGGTAACCCTGTATCTATGGTAGTATATAGATAATATATATACGCATGTATGACAATGACAATGACAATTATATATATACAATTATATATTTACAACCTGATGGGTAACTCTTTGATATTTCAAACTGAAATTATTTGATCTATCAGAACTCATGGTTTGAAATATCTAAGGTCTACGACATTGGGTTGCAAAGAAACAGGAATTATAGAAAATCAGAGTTTGTGACAAAGACTCAATTCCTTTCTTTAAGTCATGCAGATCCATTTTATACATTTTTAGAGTTAGGACAACTTGTGTCCGATAGGTTTATTAGGGCACTCATACGTTCAAGATTTATTAAGGACAAGATAAGGACAAATCATAGAAGTGGAAAATTAGGACAGATGTAGGACAGGTTTAGGACAGATGTAGGACATGTTTAGGACAGATGTAGGACAGGTTTAGGACAGATGTAGGACAGGTTTAGGACAGATGTAGGACAGGTTTAGGACAGATGTAGGACAGGTTTAGGACAGATGTAGGACAGGTTTAGGACAGATGTAGGACAGGTTTAGGACAGGTTTAGGACATGTTTAAAAGGACTGAAGGCATATTTTCAAGCGGCATTTCATGCAAAGATGGTCACTTGAAATTAGCGTACGGTCCCTTTAAGACATGCAAAGAACAGATTTATGTAAGGTTTATGTAAGGTTTATGTAAGGTTTATGTAAGGTTTATGTAAGGTTTATGTAAGGTTTATGTAAGGTTTATGCAAGGTTTATGTAAGGTTTATGAAAGATTTATGTAAGGTTTATGTAAGGTTTATGCAAGGTTTATGCAAGGTTTATGTAAGGGTTATGCAAGGTTTATGTAAGGTTTATGCAAGGTTTATGTAAGGTTTATGTAAGGTTTATGTAAGGTTTATGTAAGGTTTATGTAAGGTTTATGTAAGGTTTTTATATAAGGTTTATGTAAGTAAGGTTTATGCAAAGTTTATGCAAGGTTTATGCAAGGTTTATGCAAGGTTTATGTAAGGTTTATGTACGGTTTATGCAAGGTTTATACAAGGTTTATGCAAGGTTTATGCAAGGTTTAGGCAAGGTTTATGCAAGGTTTAGGCAGGGTTTAGGCAAGGGTTAGGCAAGGTTTATGTAAGGTTTATGTAAGGTTTATGCAAGGTTTAAGAAAGGTTTATGTAAGGTTTATGCAAGGTTTATGCAAGGTTTATGGAAGGTTTATGCAAGTTTTCTGCAAAGTTTATGCAAGGGTTAGGCAAGAAAAAGAGAAGGTTTAATATTTAAAATCTGTTTACACAAACAATTAAATACACTCCGCCCCAACACGCTAAACTAAACTAAATTACAGGAAATCTTTTATGTTTTTAATCATAACTCCTTCTGTAGAAGAGCTATTGAGAAGAAATTAACATTATTTGACCGAATCAATTAGTAAAATAGAAAAATTAGAGGTCGCATGGTGGTCCCAATTATGTCCCGAGGTCGCACAGTGGTCCCAGTAATGTCTCGAGTCGCACAGTGGTCCCAATTATGTCCCGAGGTCGCACAGTGGTCCCAGTAATGTCGCATAAAGTTTATCTTAGTTTACAGTGGCACTTGTATACAGAATACACCAGTTGGAAACAAAACAATAACAAACAAAACAAAACAATTAAAAACAAAGATGGACAAGAAGGGTTGGGTTGGATAGGAAACATTAAACACATAATTCTTCATCAAAGACTTACAGAGTCTAAAACTAAAGAATGAAAAGTTCTGACTTAATCTTTAAGTTTTAGCTTAAATGCCACTTCTGACTTAATTTAAGCCTGAATTTTAACCATGGGGTTTAATATTTACTTCGCAAAAATCGAAGAGTTAAAATTTAAACCCAGGGTTAAAATCTTGATATCCTGCAATTTCTCTATTTGCCTATTAATCAATCATCATTCAGCTGAGAAAGCGGCATTTAACTTTACGATATATTTAAAAGTGAAAACCTTGATGAAGAAATTTCACGTTTTAGATTAAGTAATTTTTGCATGTAAAACCAAAAAATGATTGTAACTGTAAATAGGTTTTTTTGGTTACGTATTTTTTTTAAATTAACAGCTGATAAAAAACTCTCCGTAAGTAGCAACTCATTATTTTACAGAACTTTTAAGCTTTAACTTAAATTTCGCGCATTCTCTAGTTTTAGACTCTGGTAGCACAAAAAAACACATATAATGTTTATAAAAGGGTGGGAATAGGATTGAAAGTAAAATTGCAAACTTCTAAATAATCGTGTACAATAATTCTGAAGGTTTGACCCTAATTTTCTTGACAATGTAAATTCCGAATATTTTCTCACATTAAAACATTATTCTTGTCACCAGCAAATTAAGGCCAGACAGATATACTGGCATTACGGTGCAAGATAGAGTGCTAAAAAGATAGTTACAAAATAAAATAAATAAAAAAGAAAAAGAGAAAAACCAAAAATTGTTATTTTCTCTTTTATTACCTTTTTAACGCTTGAGTCATATTAAATCATTTTTCCAGTTTTTTGCGAAAAGTTTTATCTTTTTTAGTTTTTGTTGGTTATATTTCTCTAATTAAGATTTTTAGGTGAGAATTCTATTTCCAAGATTTACCAAACCGAAGAATTAAAAAAAATGGATTCACAAACCAGCGATCCATTCGAACCCATTGACAACAACATCATCAATCCATCAAATGAAAAAGAGATTCTTGAAGACATGGCTAATTCTGTGTTCACGGATATCTCTGATAATGCTTTTAATAATGCTGCCGATGATGCGTTTAACACAATTGCTCGAACTGGTGATCTTGATCATTCTTCTGATCTTGATCTTTATTCTGATTCTGATCTTGAATCTGATTCTGATCTTGAATCTGATTCTGATCTTGAATCTGATTCTGATCTTGATCAAGAAATTGAAGATGTTTATTCTCAAGAAAGTGAGGAATATCTTGACGATGAGCTTTTACAAGGTGAAAACATTTTTTTGATTAAAAAAGCGCAAAATGTCAACATGAAAATGTGCGAGTTTTTTAAATTTCAATTTTATGTATCTAGTTTTTTGATAATAATTTTAACTGTACTTTTCATTTGCATATTAAGCCAATTTGAAAATATTGCTTGAAACCGCAAAAAAAAACAGACAAAAGAAGACAATATTTTATTTCAAGAAATACAGGATTAAAGCCAAAGTGCAGAGTGGCAAGAATAAATGCTCAATGTTTTAAGCTTCATTCAGGGATTGTCAACGGTACCCTTGAATCTTTATCCGATCAATAATGTTGAAGATATTGTCGTTTTTCTTTAGGTTTAAAAGTGTTTATTTCTGATAATTCCTTTATGATTTCCTGCAGTTGTAGAAATTTGCGAGTCACTTGTATACATGAGAAACTACAATTGAAAATAACCTGTTATTATAATATAAACATTGATATCCAACTCATACTAAGACCAGGCAAGGCTGTTAAGGGTACCGTTGTAATTCAGGCATTGCCATATTTGCATGGAGGGTCATTTGAAATTTTGCTTACAGTCCCTTTAATCTAAATTTTGAAAGTAGAAAGATATGTTTAATAAAAACAATAAATAATAATGTCATCTTAGCTTGTTTGAGGCTGCACTTCTTATTTCGCGAATTGTCCCTTTAAAGAATAATTTCTATAAAAGTTTTCTATGTTTTCCCAGGGGAGAGCCGTGAATCATTTTCCCCAACACATCAGGTTAATCGTCTTCTTCCCCACCCTGGACTAGTTCAGGAGAGAAGACGACCACAGTCCCCTGCACAAGATCGTCTTTTCTTCAATCTACCTAAACTACTTTTTGGAATACAAAGTAAGTATTTTTTAAAAAGTTAATGGGTTTAGGTTCAGTTCAAATGTATTATTTTCTAGATATGTAACTTTTTGCATTAAAATGTTATAAATTAATTTGATATTTTAGAATCTATGCATATATATATATATATATTATATCGCTATCAATGAATATAGGTATAATTCAGTCGAAACATATTATCATTTTGTTTTTAAATCTTAAGCTTCCCCCCTTAAGTATTTTATTTTGTTCCAGAAAAACGACCAGCAGGTCACCATCAGAACCCTCAATCAAGTTCTCATAGTTCAGGAGTAAACCCATCCCATCCTATACCATCATCTGCTGAAGGTTACTTGTCTTTTTTAGCATAAAAAAATTAAATAAAGGAGCAAGTTGGGAAATAATCTAGTTGCCAATGATATTTAGGGGTAGGGGGGCTGCTAAAATTATCATTAGCATTTACTGAAAGCTTTGCTTGTTTTCTAGTCACCCTGCACGAAAACAGGGCAATTCACCCCTTTAAACCTTTTTATCCAGAGAGCTCTGTGTGTAAATCTTTCTAATTGCGGTTGAATTTCTGTAAATACCAGTGTACGCTACATACAGTCTAAACTTGATGCTGATTTGTTAATTGAATCGAATATTTCATATTAAAAGCAGTTTTCAAAAATTCAGAAGTAAATTTTTATTTTCTATAACTTCAAGAAAGTCCTTTTTGATATTTTTAAGTTATGAACAGCATGCAAACAAAGAGTTTAGTAGATTAAAAACAATATATCCAACATCCTTGATTAATCAAAGGTTTAACGGGTACTGTATTTAATCAGACACTCCCCTGTTAAAATCAAGAGTCCCTTGAAATTACGCTTACAGTTAGTTCCTTTAATAAAATTTGAACTTTGGACAAATCTCATTTTCTTGCTTTTAAAAAGTTTTCGGAATTTCTAATTCATTCCTTGTAATCTGATGTCTTGGAAGTCAGAGTCCACTTAAAGAGAATTAAATTTTGAAATGTTAAATATTTAACTTTCCAGTTTTCTATGGAGCACCTTAAGGTAATTACATTTTTTTAGTTGATGGTTATGGATCTCCAGTAGCATCTGTGGAAGATTCTTATGGGTCACCTTTGGCTCCAGTTGATGATTCTTATGGCTCTCCTGTTGCCTCAGTGCATGATTCCTACGGATCTCCGGTGTCTCCTCTAGACAACTCCTATGGGTCTCCTACATCACCCCTTGAGGACACCTATTCCGCAGCTCCCCCTGTTTTAATTCCACAACCTCCTGATTTTATATCTCCAGAGCCACAGTACGGTTTTACTCCCTGTCTATCTTGTCCAACAAGTCCAACAACACCTACTCCTTCCCAAGCACCAGACTCTTATGGATCACCTGTTGAAGATCCCATTTCAGCCCCAGATGCATATGGCATACCTTCAACAGATCTAGTATCTGCCCCAGATTCCTATGGAATACCATCTCAGGATCCAATTGCTGCTCCAGATTCATATGGCATACCTTCAACAGATCTAGTGTCTGCCCCAGATTCCTATGGAATACCATCTCAGGATCCAATTGCTGCTCCAGATTCATATGGCATACCTTCAGCAGGTCCAGTTTCTGCCACAGATTCCTATGGCAAACCTTTACAGGACCCAATAGTGGCTCCAGATTCCTTTAGAATACCACCTTTAGACCCAATAGATACTCCAGATGCCTTTGGAAAGCCTATAGATAACTTTTTACCCAACAGCGACTATGATATTGATCCATTTGATGAAACAGTCACTTTTGAAGGAGCATTCACTCCAGTATCAGCTTCAGACTTCTACGGAACACCAGATGCTTCTAATTCGGTAAATGCTCTTAATAGTAACTATAATTCAATAAAAAGACAGATGCAAAAAGATATACTTCCTAAAGGACTTCCTCTTCCTGTTGAGGGAATTGTAATAAATATTGGCGTGGAAAACAATCTCATTCCTTTTCCTGTTTCTAGTCCCACTGAATCAAGAGAAAATCCCTCCCAACCAAAGTTCAATCGACAGGTTTCTCTCCCTTCCTACAATGACAACCTTCCAACCTATAATAATCCTAATCCTGTTCCTTCCTCCCTCCCTTCCTACCAGGACACATATGATCCATTTGTTTTCCAGGCTGAGAATTCTGCGAAGCCAACTGTCAAGACAACCCAAAGACCAGCTTCAACTACACCTAGAGTAACAACCAGAGCAACAACTAGAGCATCAGCAAGCTTACCTACTAGATTACCATCAAATATAAATCCAGATGTGGAGTTAATAGAAATTCCAGACTTTGTTGTTCCCATTAGTGCAAATCAAATACTAAAAAATAAGACAAACACTGCTTCAAGTTTTAGCTTTACTCAATTTGGAGACAGTGCTCCCTTTGGATTTGTCAATAGCAACGAAGAAAGCTTTGGTTTCAGCAACAATCTTAATCTTAATTCTCTTGAGAACAACAATAATGTTGGAGGTTCAGAGCTGTTCAATCCTTTTGGAGTTAGCTTTGCTTCAGGGTTTGGTGAGAAGAAACCAACAACTAGAACTCCTACACAAAGAACTTCAACAACCCCAGCAATAACAACGTTAAAAAGCACAACCAGGAGACCTCAGCAAAACTTTCAACAACAGATCTCACCTTTCCCTAATGACGCAAGACCAGCCAGTGGCTTTATTGAGCAGGAAAATACACATCCACAGTCTCCAACAGGTGGCATTGGAGTCTCTAATGGGTTCCAATCAACACCCAGCCCTTTTGGTAATTCCATTCCAACCCAGACCTCTTTTTTTGGAGGTACCATAACACCACTACAATTTGTACCATCAACTGCAAGACCAACCACAAGAACAACTAGACCAACTACAAGACCAACTAGGTCAACTACAAGACGTCAAGTTCTTCTCCAACAATCTATTCAACCAACTATTAATATTGATGATGGATTAAAAACCGAGAGTTCTTTAGGGTTTAACCAACCAATTTTTTTTGGAAGCCCAGAAAAACTACAAATTAGTAGCTTAAATGAAATAACTGGAGCTTCAGGAATATTTTTTTCCACTCCATCATCTCAGTTTGTTACTCCTGAGGATTTTGCAACACCAGTTCCTAAAAACTTACAAACTTCAGATCCTAATTCTCAGGGTTCTCCAAGAAGGCCAAATAGTGGAGAGAGATTTAAAGCCAATCAAATTGCAACTACTGGATCTCCAACCTTTGCACAACAAAACTCCAAGCCTTTACCAAGTGTTGAACTAACAGTACCTTCAAGTATTGAGACAAATTCAGAGACTGAACAAGGAAAAAACAACTTGTTTAGTGGCAGCACAACCTTTGGTGGACAGTTTCTAAAATTGCCTCAGAAAAATAATCCGAAAAAATCAAGAGGTTCAAAACAATCCTTTGGACAGAAAACAGACATTTCTCCTGGATTTATTCCTGGAGGAAACTCTTTACAGCCAGCAAATCCCTCACAAGGAAGAATTGCTAACAGTAAAAGCATTGAGACGGATATTTCACCACCAGAAAAAGATATCCAAGAAGTTACTGATGTTCAACCAAGACCTAAACAACAGACAATTGACATTCAACCAAGAAAGGAATCTGAGGAAACACTAACTGTATTCTCAAGACGAAACATGTTAATGAACATTATCCTGAGACCTGGAGGAGGAGATAAGGACAAAGCTCTTCCTAGACCCAAGGTTGAAGTTACATCTGAGGGGGCAAATGTTATTTTAGTTCGGCTAACATTCCCAGAGAATGAAAACATTCATGGTCTACGTGCATTTACACCTACTGATCCAAAGGAATTAAATAAGTTTGATGAACTTAAAGACGCATTTGGCCCAGAAGCTAGAATAGATAGAATTCAAGGACTTAGCTCCGAGGAAAGTTCTGAAGATGAACTAATCAATTCTAGAGATTTGAAAAAAACAGAAAAACTTACTGCCCTGAGACCTAATGCAATACTAAGTTCACCCACTCGACCAACAAGACCTCCAAAAAATGAAAACGCTGTTACTTCTTCGTTTAGTTATCTGCCACCACCAAGTGCGCCTGCTCCAAATCCAGCTCCTACCCACAGTTACCTACCCCCTTCTGTCTCTTTAACAAAACCATCTCTAAACAACTTTCCTCCTCCAATCAAACCTCAACAAAAAGGCTTTAATTCAAATAACAATGGATTTTTCAATCTGAAGCTAAGTGCAGAAGACACAAGTTCTGAGAGAGAAGGCAAGATTAAACCTCGTAATATACAAAATCCTCCTCAGCAACTTAATGTAAACTTACAAGAGAGACCAAGAGCCTATTTCTACCCAGTCACAGAGTCTTTCAGATCCCAAGAAGGGTTCAGCAACGAAGTAAGATCTACTGAATTCCTTTTCAGAGATACTCCTGAACTCCTGGAAAATGAGATTTCAGGGGAAAAGCTAAAATACAAACCAAAAACAAAATGGGGTGGACAAATCCCGCCACGCCCCAAATCCCCTCCAACACATCTCCAGAATGAGCCCCTGCTGGGAAACCATCCTCAACAAACATTGCATGGAAGAGAACATCGGCGACAAGGACGAAAGGACATTCCATTAAACAGTCAGGAATCAAAAGAAAGAAAAAAGCACAACTTTTTTGGGGTAAGAACTTTTAATTATTCGCAATTCAAATTACTTGATGTAAACTTTTTTAAACAGTTTTTTTTTGTAGGATAACAACAAAATATTTTAATGGCGTTGGGACGAATTATCTTATGCCTTACTTTTTAGGTGGGAGACTTTTTAGAGACTGGAATAGCAGGGTTTAATTTCTTAGTTCCTGAATGGAATGGATGGAGAAGACTTTGAAAAAAAAGAAAATCCATTGAAATAAAATTTTAAAACCACCAAAGAGAAAGTGAGCAACACAAAATCGTGACAAAATAATAAAACAATTTTAAAAAAAAATGTTGTTAATCTTTAAAAAGAATCTTATAGTTGATCAAAAGCCCCTCCAGGAATGGGGGTGGGGGAGGAAAAAAGCCCACTCCATGAAGAGGGGGGAGGTAAGCCCTCTTTGATTAAATATATTGAATATGCACTGGCAGTGATATGTTCCAGTTGAGTTGACTGGTTAATCATTAACATACAACAAGGACAAATTAATCGTAACCAGAGGAAACCATTTTTCTGCCAAATTATCAATTTTATTTTCATTTCCTCAAATTTGAATTTGAAACTTGTATCTCGTCACTATATATATAAATATATATATATATATTACAGGGTCATTAACTTTAACATGTAATTTTGAATCCAATTTTTAAAGCTTATGTTTATTTCTTATATCCAGTATTTTTCATTTAAAAACTTATTTTGTCATTGTTTAATGTTTATGTACGACCATTTAAAAAGATGTTCATCATGATATGATACGTTTATGTACATAATCATATTTTTTATGTGAAACATATTTTTTCATCAAAATCCGATTCTGAAATCAATGCAACTTGATTTCAAAGTTCTTTGATACATTATCCCACAAGTAAGATACCTATGAAATCAAAAATACTTCTTAGCAAACCTGAGGCCGAATTTAAAGAATTGCATATACTGTTCCTAAAAGGGAGAAAAAACATGATTGTAAGTGACCCTCCAAGCAAAGAGAGCAATATCTAATTAATAACAGTACCCTTGATCAAGTATGAATTATATATCAATGTTTTATTGGTTTCAACTGTTTATTTTCACTTGCGGGTTTTCTGAAAAAGTGACTTGCGCGCATTTTCTGCTTTTGAGAGTCCCAATGGAAAAACTCACAGAACTAAAAACTTTAAGAGTAAGAGTAAGAAAAACGACGTTATCTTCCATATTTATTATCAGATTAAGGTTTCAAGAATACCATTCTAAATCGGGCATTGATCTTTTTTGCACAAAATTATACTTACAGTCCATTAATTACACTTACAGTCCATTAATTACACTTACAGTCCATTAATTACACTTACAGTCCAATAGTTACACTTACAGTCCATTAATTACACTTACAGTCCAATAATTACACTTACCGTCCAATAATTACACTTACAGTCCATTAATTACACTTACAGACCATTAATTACACTTTCTATCCATTAATTACACTTACAGTCCATTAATTTCCATTAATTACACTTACAGTCCATTAATTACACTTACAGTCCAGTAGTTACACTTCAGTCCATATATTCTAAATTGTTGAATTGAATAAAAAACTGGTTTATGAAATTTTTTTTCTTAATATCTGTACATTTCCAAATCTTAGAATGTGTATGAGAGTGTTGATATTTAATTTCTCGAATATTTCGTGACTTTACTTCAGGTTGGATTCTGCTTAATGTAAACGCTAGTCAAGCCAAACGATTGTCATAACAAAGAGTTAAATTTCTGTATTTTTCAATAGTTTTTTACTATTGCTTGCAGCAGTTTATTGTATACATGTGTCTAGTCATATTTTTTCTCATATTTGTACAGTTAGACCCATTGAATAAGGAATAGGAAGACGACTAAAGTAAGGATTTTAAATAGTTAAATAAATATGAATAAATATAGCAAATACATGTACAGGGCATGTACAGTACCATTTTCTTATATTTACTATAGCAAATACATGTACAGGACATGTACAGTACCATTGGCTTATATTTACTATAGGAAATCTCGGAAAATTTTCTCATTTTATAAAAAAAAGGTCAGTAATCTCCTTTGTAAACATGCATAATACCAGTTAAAAGCGGAATTAAGCCTTATTTATCATAGAGCATGTCGAATTATACGGAATGTCGAATGTCTATATAGTTTCAAGTGACCTTCCATTATATGATGCTGAAGTTAATTATCCTTTATTTTAATCTGAAAATTGATAATTTTATTCTTTTGTTTTTTATGTAAAATAATTTTTGCAAATTGATGCAGATAATGTAAACATAAAAATCTAACCGTTTTCTAAATATACAAAGTTATATTCAATTTTTCTTTAGATTAGAGTAAAAATGATTCCAACGCAAACACATCTCTTGAAATAGGGGTCACTTGAAATTATGTGGACCTTCTTTTCAATCATTTTCTTTCTAACAGTAAAAATGAGCCCTGAGCTGAAAACTTTAGAATGAGATATCCTTAATCCCGGTTACTTAATCTGAGTATCCAATGGACACACTTTTGATTTTCTTCTCAAACCGTTCTTTCTTGGATATAGAGAAAAATCAAAAACCGTATTTCTGTATCTTATTCTTAAATGGCGCGCAAAATTTTAAATTTATCGGCTACTAATATGCGACTCTGATTGGTTGAATTTTATACACTTTTCAGGATACAAGTACAAGATTAGGTTAGTCATGATATTAAAAAAAGAGAGGATCAAGCATTAATCTTGATCCACCATTCTAATGTTTTCAGCTCTGACTACATTATCAACTAGAATTGAACGTAGATGATTTATAATTTGCTTTATTTTGGTAAGTTTTGTATCATATCATCCATGGTCCAATCCAAGATTTAGGATATCTAATAATATACTTATGCTTTAAACTTTTTATCAAATAATTAATAAATCAAAAATTTGTTTTGAAAATGTTTGTTCTAGATAATTTTTCGCTTGTTTTAACGCTCACTTTTTGCTATGTTTTTATAATAAATTTTGTATTTTACAATAAATATTTAGTTTCAAAAATTAATTTTTAAGCAACCATAATATGATTACTGCAAATAAATCAAGTACAATAGGTGGCAACAGAGAAATGAACCAATTATGCACAACGTCACAAGTGTCAAATAACGAAATTGTCTCACATTAGTTGACATGTTTTCCAAAATTACATAAAAACAGAAACTAAGGAATACTAAAATTGCACTTATTTTACTGTAAGATAAACACTTTATTCTAAAATTATCACTATTATTGATAATTTTTTCAGGCACAAAAACTGAATTGACACTTGTGACGTCAGAATACAACTGTTACTGAGAGTGTACAAATTCTACTTTGCCATCTATTGTACTAAAATCTATTTTGATTACTCCAATTTGTTTTGTATCTTGATGACGACTTCGTATCTTAATACTTTACTCTTAATAACTCTAGATTGAAACTTTCATCTTATTTATTTTAAACAACCCAAAGCCTTTTGATACAGAATTTCAAATTTTTCAGGGAAGTTTTGGGGTTTCTATTGTACAGGATTGAAAGCAAACGTCTATCTAAACAAGCCTACAGCTTGTAGAAAGTCGTAAATGAAAGTTTTTTATTGAGAGATGGAGTTAAACTGAGATGGAGTAAACTATAGAACTTTAAAAAGATCTCCTTTGTTTGTAATATACCATAGGCATTCCAATTTTTTTTCTTTCCTTAAAACTCTGCACAGAATATTTGGGATATAGCTTGGAAATGGGGTTTTGCCATAAAATGGTAAAAATATGAAATATAATAAAAACTTAAAAAATTAAGTGTTTCAGGAGAAATAATTTAAAAACCTCTAAAAGTAGAGGTTGTGGGAATATTTCCCCACAATTCTAGAAAAGTATAAAAATAGAAATAAAAGGAACAGGAAATGAAAGGATAATGAAAGTTACATATTTATTGTTTACACTATATTTAATATAAATTGGTGGTGAATTGTTAGTATTTTTAGACGATGAACTATAAACTTTTAGAAATAAAAAAATACAGATTTATTTGTAATGTTAAAAAAAAAGTAAAAAAAGCTTTATGGAGATATAGGTTCTATGAAAAACGGGAATTTTTAAGCATCTTTTTAATAGATTAATAATTAATCCCCGTATATCTCTGCATTCCGATGTCGCAGACCTCTGATATTTCAAACTATGAATTATGTTAGATCAAATTGTCTAAGTTTGAAATACTAGCCTTAGAGGGCGCTTCGCGCCCATCTTCTAAATTAATTTTGAACATGTTCTCTATGTGTACATCATAAAACAAAACAAAAATAATTCGCGGATTTTCACAAAAAAATTCGTGGATTTTCAAAATTTTCAAAAATTTAATGAAGATCGAAATTTGATGGAGACAAATATTTGAAATTTTGATCATTCATAAACCTTCCCTGTGGTCACGTTATGTCCCACAAAAGATTTGGGCCCGATCGGTTCAGCCGTTTTGACGTTTATTGGACACAAACAAACAAACAGACAGACAAGCCAAATTTATATATAGACTAGAAATTCAAGGCGCTTCGCGCCCTTCTTTCTAGCCTTAGAGGGCGCTTCGCGCCCATCTTCTAAATTAGTTGTGAACATGTTCTCTTTGTGTACATCGTAAAACAAAACAAAAATAATTCGCGGATTTTTGCAAAAAATTTCGCGGATTTTCAAAATTTTTAAAAATTTAATGACGATCGAATTTTGATAGAGACAAATATTTGAAATTTTGATTTTTCATAAACCTTCCCTGGGGTCCCTAGATGTCCCACAAAAAATTTGGGCCCGATCGGTTCAGCCGTTTTGACGTTTATTGGATACAAACAAACAAACAAACAGACAAACAGACAAACAGACAAGCCAAATTTATATATAGATAGGTTGATACCATCAGGTTGCAAAGATCAAGGAATTAAAAATTCGAGTTTGGGCTAAAAACTCAGTTCCTATGTGAGATATCTTTAAATTAAAAATTTCGCACAATATGTTCGTAACATCTCAATGCTTCCGGTTTTTGACATAAAGAACAAAATATTATGTTTTTTACGGTAAGGCTATAAAAAAGTAAGCATTCTTTTTTTTGTTTGTATTATAAAACTGTTTTATGGAAGAGATATCTAAAAAAATCTAACTGGTCGTAGTTGAAGAGGTTTGTATTTTCGCATTCAATTTACCTACTTTTCATTTTTAGGTTGTCTGGTTTTTAATGAAATATAAAACAAATAAATTCTGTAAAATATTCAATATTTCAATGAAAGGAATTGGTTTGTCTTGTATTTAATGAAATATAAAACATATAAATTCTGTAAAATAATCAATATTGCAATGAAAGGAATTGGTTTGTCTGGTGTTTAATGAAATATAAAATTTTGTGAGGAAATCATCCATTTACGAGAATGGATCCCAGTATGAGATCTATTGGGAATAGATAAGAGAAAACAATCAGAAATTGGGAGGGGGGGGGGNTAGTCACTTTCATTCAATGTTCGGCAGGGTCATTTTTCATAATTTTTTACTTTAAAAAACGTTTGAATTAACAAGAATTTGCAAAAAATAATAATTGATTACAAGAATTAAATCAACACTCGCTTTACCAGGAGGTTGAAAATAAACTTATTTATTGAAATGGGGTTCTGCACAGTTGTTGAGTTTTATATTCATTTTAAGAAGTTAACAGTCGTATTTCTTTAAATCCGGCTTTTTAGGAACTTCAATTCCAGATATATAAATGAATATTCCCATATGGGAAAAGAGGAGAGGATATTAGCTATAACCTGCTAAGACATAGGACTTTTTACAGATGAAAGATATAGAAATTATCAAAGAACTATAAAGTTAAGATAGTAATTTTAGATGTGTACGCTTTTTTCGTACTGCAGTGTACTGTCTCTGGGTGGTAATGTAAACACAAGACGGATGTCACAGTCTTACAAGGAATCCATTTTCACATAAAAAATCTATAAAATATTCTGGCCATAAACTGTTACGTAAATCATAAAAATTTAATGCTTTTAACCTCCTCGGATATAAGAAAAACACAGAGAACTGGTATCAATATGTATGCAAAGAATACACAACAGCAATTAACTTCCCTTGCATTAAAACCTTGAGTATGAGTAACCATGCTTTAAATATTACATTTCTTGCATAGATTCCTACCTGACCGCCTATTTAGCAGTACTGTACAGAGTAAACTTACAACTGTAACAACTACTAACAAATGACGAAAGAAGATTATTTCCTAACCTACAGTACAATAATCAAATATTCAGTACATCATTTTTCATGTAGTTCCCAAGAATGTAATGCAAGGAAATTGCTGTTGCGTATACTCTGCGTACAAATGGAAACAAGTTCTCTCTGGGCGGAATTTGTAAACATGAATAGATGCATCAGTGTTCGTCTAGTATCCGAGGAGGTTAAAAGCATTTAATTTTATTAATTTTGAAAATTCACATAATAGTTTGCTATGACCAGAATATTTTATAGATTATTTTTGTGAAAATGTATTCCATGTCAGGCTCTGACATCCGTCTTGTGTTTACTTTTCCGCCCAAAGACATTACACTGCAGCACAAAAAATGCGCACACCCCTGAAATAACTTTCCTTGCATTAGTACCTTGGTTGATATCTGTGATCGTAGACAAATATTTCCAAGATAGTGTATTTCTTATGTTTTGTTTTCTTTATCTAAATCTACCAAACATTAGCTGCTGTGTGTATATAAATATATATTTATAGATACTGCTTTATCGTTACTGCTCGCTAATAAATTATCACGCTAACTTCGGAATTTATCAGACTTTAAAACAGAATTTTGTTAATCTATGGAAATCCATGATGGCTTCTCTAAAGAAATCAGCCAAATATAAGCATATGTGAGCAAACAGCTTTACTAAAAAGATATAACAATGAGAAACTTTTAACATTTATTAAATTCAAATTCAAAGTTTAACACACAGAGAATCAGATAAACGATGCAATTTACATAAAATATTAAAAATTCACGAAAAATAATAATTAACAATAACAATGACAACATTTAAATTCTCTATTGGGAATTTTAAAAACTTTTTCGTCGCGTTTACAAATTTTATGTAATAAGTCAAAAAATTGACAACAAAAGTTGAATTATGACTTAACATGATCGTAATAAATTGAAATGGATATTTAGATTTAAAGTGATGTTCATGTATTTACACAGATATTGAATCAAACAGTACATGACAATACATGACATGAAATTTCAAATCTTTAAAAAACTAATTACATTCATCTTAAAATTATAAAATGATTAGAGATCATAAAATCTTGGTAATATGCATAATACTATCACATACTACGTATTCTGGTATATTATATGTATTGTTTAAAATACAAAATTGAAGACACACAATGACTAACTACATTTTGTATTTACACAATTTTTTAGGCGAAAAATTGATTCTGAATGAATTTCTTAAAGTTATATGAATGGTTATTTCTACAAAACTGAAAACACTATATGTCCGTCATTATTTTTGCCTTTTTACAGACAATTTTGTTAGTTCTATCGAACGAAAATTTTGGTAAAAAACAGAAATATTAAAGTTTTAAAGCAATTTTCGAGATACCATTAACATTCTGTTTATAATTTAGCAAAAGAAGCAACCCCAGTCTAAAAGTAGCTTGATCCGTGCCGGTACAACATGTACTGTACATGCTTTTAGTCGTACGTTGTCCAGTCAGGCTACCTAGTGTAGAGCCGGTACAACATGTACTGTATATGCTTTCAGTCGTACTGTCCAGTTAGGCTACCAAGTGTAGAGTTGACCCAGCACGTTTTATACAATAAATATAGATATTATAGATAACCACAAAACTTTAGAATTGGAAGACGGCATTAAAGCAATATCGAAGTGCATTTCATGTTGCTACAAAGCAAAAATAGGTTTACTAATAAGATATTAAATCACTTATTAAATGCAATGGGTCTGTTTAGACTTCACAATTGTTGTGCCTCAAGTTCATGGGACTATTTAAAAAATCGCCTTTCTATTCCAGAGTATTCTGGTTATCACTGTAGAGATAATATATTACAAACAAAATGCAAGTTTCTTTTTTTTACATTTACATTGATGATTATACTCAATATTTATTTTTAAAAATGTTATTTAAAAAATTTGAGACTTAACGACACAAAATGCATTTATTTTTCAGCACCTAAATTCCAGCGATAGATTCCTCTAGTTTAAACTAATACTGTTTTCCTACTTTAACACCTTAAAGGGCCTGTAAGAAAAATTTCAAATGACCTTTCATTTAGAGAGATTCAAGTCATATTCACAACGGTACCCTTCAAACCTTTGTCCTGACAACGATGAGGTAGATACCATCTTTTGTATAGCTACTGCTGAAGATTGAGTGCCGGGAGACTCGAGGTTACAGTGTACATTGTACTCTCCGTGCTAGTTTACACTCGCGCGGTTTCTTGGCACTGCTATACGAATAATTTCCCGCGATATAAAGAAGAATATCTACGAATTCCTTGATCAAACAAAGGTATAAAGGGTATCGTTGTAAATCGGACATGCCACTCAATAAATGGAAGGTCGCTTGAAATTACGTGTAACATCCCTTTAATAAAGGGATTCTTTACTCTTGCATGCAAAAAAAAAACATTTTAAAACTTGCACATAAACACTTTAATGGAATTTTTATCAATTAAATGACTTTAAAATAATCAAATGATAAATAGATTTATTCTTCTCTAAAAGTGCAAAATTTGGAATCTATACATATTTCGTTTTTCTAGATTTAACATTTTTGTATAAACATAAGCTGCGAGTATATAAAATGGAAAAAGTCACATTTCATAAAGTTGACATGACACTGTCACATTTAGACACTTTTATGTTTATGTGTTCATAACATGACTTGATTTTGTTTATGTTCATGTTCGAAAAACATTTAATTTCGTTTGCTATAGTGTGGACACTGTTCCTAAAAATAAAAAAAATATAAGAAAACTATTTTTTAGTTAAAAAGAAATGTTCGTGTAAATTAGGACAATATATTTTTTCCATCCAGTGCCAACATTTCTAAGAAAACACAACATGATAATAAATACACTGATAATAATGATACCTGGTGATGGTAATGAACATAATGTGTTGGAGTACAATTTGAAGGAAGGACAAACCCATTAGGGGCTGGGGGGACTTAATAATAATAATAATAATAATAATAATAATAATAATACCTATTTGAATATCCTACATTAGGAAGACTATGCTGGGAGCCCCTGAGTAAAAATATAATTGTTAAATACAGGTTTATTAAAGGAAAGAATCTTAATTTTTGCATCAAACTCTAATATTTAAATCCTTGCAATGGATGTCGAAGACCTTTAATATTATTAATTCATACGAGATCAAATATCCAGAGGTTTATATCATCAGGTTAAAAAGATATGAGGATTTAGAAAAGAGTCTGTGGCAAGAACTATTGTTAGATGTTAAGATAATTTATTGTGGCAGACTTTTACGTTTCTAGTCACTGTTTAAGTATAGACTGTGTACAGCATAAACATTGTTGAGTATGCACTGTACAGCGTATAAATTGTGGAGTTTGTACTGTACAGCATATACACTATTGATTATGTACTGAACAGCGTATACACTAATGCTTATGTACTATTCAGCATATACACTGTTTAGTATGTACTGTACAGCATAAGCACTGTTGTGTATGTACTGTACAGCATAAACAATGTTGAGTATGTATTGTACAGCGTATACACTGTTGAGTATGAACTTACAGAACATACATTCAAGAGTATGTACTGTACAGTGTACACACTGTTAAGTATGTACTGTACAGCATAAACACTGTTGAATATGTACTGTACAACATATGCACCAATGAGTATGTACTGTACAGTGTACACACTGTTACGTATGTACTGTACAGCATAAAAACTGTTGAGTATGTACTGTACAACATATACACCAATGAGTATTTACTGTACAGCGTACACACAGTTGAGTATGTACTTTATAGCATATACACTATTGAGTATGTACTGTACATCATATGCACTATAGAGTGTACTGTAAAGGGTAAACACTGTTGAGTCATGTACTGTACAACATATGCACCAATGAGTATGTACTGTACAGCGTACACACTGTTGAGTATGTACTTTACAGCATATACACTATTGAGTATGTACTGTACATCATATGCACTATAGAGTGTACTGTAAAGGGTAAACACTGTTGAGTCATGTACTAAACAGCGTATCCATGGTCCTGTATGTTCTGTACAGCGTATACACTGTAAAGTATGACTGTACAGCATAAACACTATTGAGTATGAATTAAAGAGTGTATACACTATTGAGTATGTACTGTACAGCATACACACTGTTGAGTATGTATTGTACAGTGCATAAACTGTGGAGTGTGTACAGCATTAACATTGTGCAGTGTGCATCGCTAACCTGGATAATGTGTTTGTACTGGTATTACATCTAGAGAGAGAAACAGTACCATGTGCTGCCAGATCCAGATGGGTCACACCTATAAAGTACAGATTACAATGTGTGCATAATTTATACAAGTTCTAGTAGTTATCAGCAATATAGTACTTTTAGTACATTAAGAATCCTATAGTAGTATATCAGATAACAAGAGGGATAAAAAGAATATTAAGAAACTAAGCATAAAAATAAATACAACCAAGTCATTCATAGAGCTGGGCACGTTCCAACTATTTCAAGCCATTTCTTTAACGTTTAGTTCCAACTGGTCTTAAAATAAAATCTTAGTTGACCGTAAAGAACGAAACTTCGTCTCGTTAACTTTTTTCATTTATTTTTGTCAAGTTACTGTAAGTTAACGATCTAATTTTACTAACGGTGTCGAGGAAAATTTGTAACAACCATTAACGGCTCCAGCCATTAATGGTACCATCATTACAGAATTAACAGAGTTAATGGTGCAAAGCGAAAAACAAACTTCTTTAACCGTTAATGAAATTGTTAACGGCACAGCCATTAGCGGTCTTTTACAGTATTAACAGTATTCGCGCCAAAAAAAATGGTTCATGAAATCGTTAATGAGTGTGTACAGAGAAGATGACATTTAATAGTATCAAAACACATAAAAAAGTTTCATGCAATTTTAATGAGAAAAAAATCACCATTTCTTTTTCGTTTTCAAGCGTAAATGTTTTTGTCTACGATTTTAAAATAACGTTAACGGACTCTTCCGTTAATTTTTGAAAACCTCTGTTTCATTAAGGGAACTTTGCCCAGTCCTAGTCGATAATACTTTGTTACAATTTCTTTTATTATTCTTCTTATTCCTTTTTTTGTAAATAACAAAGATATTTCTTATGTATTGTAACAATTTCTTTTATTATTCTTCTTATTCCTTTTTTTGTAAATAACAAAGATATTTCTTATGTATTGTATTTTTAATTTAAATTATTTTATACATTAAGGTTAAGTTTCTGGTGCTTCTTGTAGTAAAATATATTTCTTTTAACCTTGCTAAATAGTTTTTTTTTGTCTAATTAGGCTTTTTTTTGTCTAAAATTGCTTTTTTTTGTCTAATAAGGCTTTTTGTCAAATTTTCCCAGGGCAACTCATTTTTGAAAATGTTTAACCTCTTATTTAATTTTATCTTATCTTTCTTATACTTTTCCATCTTGTCAAAACGGCTGAACCAATCGGGATCACATTTTTTGCTGATTCTCACATGACCCCCCGGAAAGGTTTATGAGCTATGACGAAAAGGAAAAAATATTAATCAAAACAAAATGTCTTTTTTAAATAAAAACAGAATATCTGCAAAGTTTGAAAGTAAAAGAAACTTACAAAGCCTTGTTTATGATCAAGTGATTTTTTAATTAATTTTTTCTAGTTAAGATTTATGCTCTTGAATATTGCTTTCTACGCCACCAACTGTACATTTTGTAGATTTTCGGATTTTTGTTGGCGGATTTCTAAACAGTTTAAAATAAAATTTTATTGGGACAATTAATAAATTTCGACCTTCTCTTTGATTATGTCAAGGTCTACACAAAATTAAACTTAGATTACGCCTTGTTCAGCTGTTTTGGCATTTATAGGACAATAAAATTTTTTTGGATGCAAAATTTAAATTTTGATCATCTATAAACCCCTGGGGACACTGAAAAATTTGGGCTAGATCGCTTCAGCCGCTTTGACGTTTATTCAATAGAAACAAACAGACAAACACCCAAACATAAAGACAAGCAAAATATATTTATACATATATGTATATATATATATATATATGTATAAATATATATATTATAGTTATAGATTATACCTGGACCAGGAAGGGATAGTTTCTCAAACCCATTGCTGAGGATCTCCTCCTCAAAAAATCAATCAATCAATCAATTGATTTTTTGATCTTGTAAAGGGATTGTTCAGACTTTTGGGTAAAATATCAAATGAAGGAAATAGTTATACCCAAATCAAATCATTAGAATTTCGGCTTCCAGATCAATTTATTTCATCATTTAATGATATTTTTTTTCCTTTGATTGATTTCTTCTTGATAAAAAGATTGATTGATTGATTGACTTGCCTCCTGGGACCCACTCCCTACAGACCTTTCCCTCCTGCCTCTCCACACAGCAGCCTGAAAAAAAAAATTTAAAAAAAAATGTTAAAATTAAAAAAAAATAACTTCTTGATTTGATTATCAAAGAATGGATAAAAATGATTTCGAAGTATGGTTTAATCACAATCGTAAAGATATAATTGCCTCCTTCAAGGGATTTTTATCCTAATTTCAATTGACCCTAAATTTAAGAATAAGATGTATAAAATATAGCCTGTGAACCTTTATATCAGAATCATTATATTTCTTCATCACTGTTTTCTTGATACATAACTTCCAAATCGAATTCAAACATTCTTTCAAACCTCAAACTGACACATATATAAAAAAGGGGAATCACCAGACGTAAAATATAATTTATAAAAAGCTGAATTGTCTCCGAAGTATAAAACTCTGATAGTTTAAAGTGTGAGTGAGGAAAGTTAAGCATGCTTGCTTTACAATGTATAAAGTTTTAACGAAGTGTTTAGTATGTAAATGTGTATAAAGTTCACTATTTCACTCAATTCTTAGAAGACGGAGGGGGGGGGGGCTTTCCCACAAACTCTGATTTTCTAATCCCTTATCCATGTCGTAGGCCTTAACCATTATAGATTTTAAATATATAGGGATTGGAAAATTTGAGTTTGTAGCAATGACTTAATTCCTATTAACCTTTAAGGATAGATGACTTTTTTGATTTAATTGTAAAAAAGTCAGTTATTATGATCTTTATAAATATTTAGAGTTGATTCAATTCCAATAGTTGTCGTAGAATTTCAAACATAAATCAAGACTAAAAAGTGTTTATAACATGTACATTTACAAAATTATATATATCAATATCGATCAATAACAATTTTGTAAACAGTATTCATATATAATTGGAAGAACAGCACATCAAGAAGTAAAATTTGGTTGGGTAAAGATCAAATGAAGACGACATGACACATGCAGTGCTTCCAAAAGAACAGTGGGGGGTACAGAAGTATGTCCGAACAGATTACAGTACACTTAAACATATTAAAGAAAATGGAAAATGTAATGGTTATGAAAATGGATTTAGAAATGTTGTCTGAAAATATAAAAGTTTACATTTTCTTGGAAAAGAAATTGAGTCTTTGACATTTTTTCTAATCCCTTTATCTTTGAACCCCAATGTCGTAGACCTTAGGATATAAATAACTAAATAATGGGGAAAATGTCAAATTGCTATTGTATGCTTACTAATTTCCTTGGACATATTTTGTTCCATGTGCCAAACAAAAAGAATGCAATGATTAAATAAAGAAATTCCACGAAATCTTGACAAATTAAGGTGTAGACCGGACAAGTTATTTTATGTAAATATTTTAAAGGCCAACATATAAAAATATTGCCCCCAAAAAATAGAACGACATTGGTAAACATATTCAGAGCCAAATGTATAATTTAAAAGGGACTGTAAGCATAATTTTATGTGAACTTCTATTAATAAAGAGGCATGTCCGATTTACAATGGTACCACTTAAAACTTTTTCCTGACAACAATGAGGTAGTGATAACTTAAGGAGTTGAGTTTTTGCCACAAACTCTGATTTTCTAATCTCTATATTTTTGTAACACAATGTCTTAGACCTTAGATTTTTCAATCTATTAATACTTATAGATAAAATAATGTAAGTTTGAAATATCACAGGTTTGCGCCATCAGGTTGCAAAGATATCGGGATCAGAAGATTTGATTTTGTCGCAAAAACTCAATTCCTTTGTAAAGCAAAAGATTGAATGCCAGAAGACTCGAGGTTATAGTGTACAGTGTACTCTCCGTGCTAGTGTACACTCGCACAGTTTCTTGGCACTGCTATACGAATAAGAATATCTTCGAAACTCTTGATCAAACAAAGGTTTTGAGGGTATCGTTGTAAATCGGACATGTTCTCAATAATTGGAAGGTCATTTGAAATTATGCTATACAGTCCCTTATTTTGAATTGTTGTTCAAGGACGGGACATGTACTTGTTACCTTTCACCTGATTGCTAATCACAACTGAGATCCCCTTTTAAAAAGTTCAAATAATGTCAAAAGTAAAAGATAGTTTACACCAAAAATCTAGCAAAATTTAAAAAAAAGTATTAAAATTTACAAACTTTTTGTTTGTTAATTACAAAAGATTGAACGAGGGAACCTTAACTGACAAAACCGCATATGGTGAATAGTGAAAAACGCCTCAATGTATTTTTTTCGCCATGGAGATTTAAAATTTGAAAATTATAAGCGTTTAAGAATATTCTTTCTGCTGCACGCCTCATTAAATGTAAAATTTGACATAATTGAAATATTTGCGCTTCCTCCCTTATTAAAAAATACCCAATTTTACCTTGGTCCAGCTCAAAATTAACCAAAACTTACGTTTTTTGCTTTCGACTTTCGTCTACTCCAGGAAAACTCGATAATGGCCGTGAGACAGGAGAAGACGAGTCCAATCAGAAGAACGAGGAAAATGCCGCCAACATTATCAATCCCAAGCGCAGCTGCCCCACCCTCAACTTTCTCCTGGATAAAGAACATTCTAGAACAAAGTGATTTAAAAAAATTATCTCTGTATTTTTTGGAATTTTCCGCAATACACATCTTCAAATATAAATGGTTGTAAAATAAAAAAAATTATTACCGTGCACTGCCCTCCACCGCGCATGCGCTTCCACCATTTTTCTTTTAGTAAATGCAACTTTCCTCCCTCTTGCAGTTGTAAAATTGCGCTGGTTATAGGGGTTCTATAGGGAGAATCTAAACAATATTTTTATTAACTTCATATCAAAGATTGAAATATAAAAAATATTATTACTTTGTAGTTATGACCTTTGGACCAGGAAAGGCTGGGTTCATTGGCATTTTCCCAAAATGAGTGCATTTGGAGAAAGTAATGTAGAAAAATGGGATTTGTTGCTTGTGAGAGTGGGGGAAAATGCCTTCTAGAAAGAATTTGCCGAAAAAGTTTATATTCTCAAAATTATTATACTTCTTACTCGGAGGCAAACCAATGCCGTATCCTTTGCTGTCAAGTAATCCTCCAATCTGTGTTAGCTCACACTTTCGCTCAACCACATATTCAACAATTGTGGACTCCATTAGGAAGGCGTAATCTCCATTTTCTCGCAGTACTCGCTCTATCCCCTCCTTGTTCGATTTGGTGAACACATTTCTGAACAAATAAGTATGAAATACGAAGCAATTATTCTTTATATAAAAACAAAAGTTTTCTTTAAAAAATTCATGGAATGAGATTACACGATTATACAAAGAAATTGAGGATGGGTGGATTTTTGTAACTAATAATTGGGTAACTAACATTTTGGTAATTAACAATTTGGGAACTAATAATTTGGTAACCTCACAATTTGGTAACTAATAATTTGGTAACTAACATTTTGGTGATTAACAATTTGGGAACTAATAATTTGGTAACCTCACAATTTGGTAACTAATAATTTGATAACTAATAATTTGGCAACTAACATTTTGGTGATTAACAATTTGGGAACTAATAATTTGGTAACCTCACAATTTGGTAACCTCACAATTTGGTAACTAACAATTTGGTAACTAATAACATTTTGGTGATTAACAATTTGGGAACTAATAATTTGGTAACCTCACAATTTGGTAACCTCACAATTTGGTAACTAACAATTTGGTAACTAATAATTTGGTATCCTCACAATTTTGTGACTAACAATTTGGTAACTTGACAATTTGGCAACATCGACACAATTTGCTAAGGTTAAGTTAAGTCGATTTCTGGACCGAGCGCTGCGGCTAGGACAGAGTAGGGTGCCGAGAACTGCGGCCATAATTATAAAAACTAATACAAATTTATTTCCGATATGTAGGGTTAGGTAGGGAAGGTTAATGCAATATCCGGGCCGAGCTCCTTATTTATCTAACTAATAAGTTGTTAGCCGATGTACGGGGTAAGGTTAGGTTAAGACCATCGAGATATTAGTAATAGAGGGGGCATCTGGAATTTTAGACTTCTTTGACCCGATCAGTTAGTCTACCTGGGGGGATCATAATTCGTAGATCAGTTTTGAAAGTTATTGTTTGCCAATTCAAGCAAAGAAAACAAGTCCATATGATTTTGTATAAAAATGAGACATGACAAATAGAGAAAAAAATAAAATCCTATCTCTAAACTCTATATCTTCTGGGGTACTTGAGAACCAGAATATGCT